ATGTCTAAAGGCCAGAGAAGTAGCCCACAGCCCACTTGAAAGTTGAATTTAAGCAATTCAGATTTTCAGGAATGGAAACACTTGATTTTTTTCTTAGACTATGATGCAGGTATGTAACTGTATTGCCTTTTCTTTACTATAACAAAAATCCTGATACAGTCTACTTAAGAAGAAACGGATGCTTATTCAGCTTACATCCTTGGAGGGTCAAACTCAAGATTTGATGGTGAGGTGGGGGTCCTGGGGGAATACAGTTTTGGCCTCTGATGAGGGCAGCAGACAGTGGTGCATCATGGAGGGGAACACAGGTAGGAGTGTGAAAGTGATCACACCTCAAACCCGGAGCAGAGAGAACAGAAGCCAACCTCGGTCCCCTTGCAAAAATAGTCTCGTGAGAATGACCAAAGGTCATTCCATTCTCACCGAAGCACAACCCCACGCCTCCAGTGACCTAAGAGCCTCTTGCTAAGCCCATATGTTAAAAGTCCCATCACCTCCCAAGGCAACAAATTTCCAATACATGAGTCTTTGGCACCACAAAAACCAATGAAGTAACTTAAGATAAAACACAAGTGTATGATACTCACAAAGCATATTAATAGTGTTTACTGACACAAAGCAAAAAAGATTTAATTAGTACTATATTTTTCTTTCATAATTCAGTCCTGCATTGCTCTAGCACCTTCTGTGCCAAAATGTGGCTCTGTATTTTCCCCTGTGATGAACAGAGTACAGTCTTAAATATCTAAGCCAGAGAAGCAACCCACAGCTCGTTTGAAAGTTAAATTTAAGCACTTCAGATTAAGGTGGGTTCTTTTTAGAGTTATTTTGAAATAATGCTGTTCCTAAACATAGATTCTTCTCATGGTGGGACATGCCTGTAATCCCAGCACTAAGGAGGCTGAGGCGGGAGGATCGCCATGAGTTCAATGCCAGTGTGGGCGACATAGTGAGCTCAAGGCCAGCCTGAACTACAGAGCAGGACCTTGTCTCAAAACAAACAAACAAGGGCATTTCCCAAAATAGATGAAACCATTCTAAATAGTTCTTACGTGTAGAATGACCTCTTTCAAGGTGTGCCTACAATCCTTGGTTTCAGTGTTCATCCTTTTTAGTCTTCAATAGCGTTTTGTACTAGTCTCATAATCTCAAATCATAGGCCTACATTCGTACTGTCAAAAATTAATTATGAAAGGTAAACTAAATTGTGCTAGGTTCTTTTCATGAGGTCTGAAACAGAAAACTTTTTTAGAACCCAGTTTTCAACAGCACAATTTTGGAGAATGAATCTCAGGCTATCGTTTTCATTTTTAGAAACTGATTATAATGTAGGAAAGTGGACCAGATTATTCCTTAGCAAATGAATTCCCCAATGTCTCAGTTTTGTCAGCACTAAGAGAAGCAAATGAAATGTTGGTGCAAGTACAAATGGTCTGACTTGTGATTTTTCAACTTTCGGTTTTTTACCTTTTTTTTTTTTTTTTTACCATGGGTTGAACCCACAGCCTCTCACTCTCCAGGCAGGTGCTTATGCTACCGAGCTATCTCCCCAGCCCACTGGTTTCTCACCTTTTTCATGGTGCAATTGTATTTTAGTCTCTCTCTCTCTCTGTCCCTCTGTGTATGTGTGTATGCATGCACTATTTGAGGGAGGATTTTTGCTTATTTTTATGTTTTGGGGTTTAGGTTGTTTACAGTGATAAATTATGATATTTGTTACATAAAGTACATTTTATTTATAATGTTTGCAATTTATCTATTTTTTAATGTTTTCAATTTATGATGACTTTATCAGAACATAGCCCCTTTGCTCAGAGGCACTTGTACTTGAAATGTCTCTGTGGAAAGTGCACAAAAGTTAGAGATAAATTGAAAAGTCAGCACAAAGCTCCAGATGTAGGCCCATCTTCACTGCTAAGTGGATATAGGACTACTCTCTTTGATGCAGTTAAAAATAAAATCTCTTCAGCAACTACAAGTAAGTCAGCATATGCATTAAGTAAACACTGACCTGATTTCACCTCAAGACTCAGAAAAATAGCTAATTTGTGGTATTAATTACTGAGTCTGCGCCCTGTCTCATTTTAGCTCTTGACCCCCAAGTAACTCCTATTGAATGAGAAAGTTAAGGAACCTGGGTGTAGTACCGCTTCTGGTCTATGGCTTGACTGGCCCAAAAGCAACCCCATCCATCCTGAGAGCCCCATCTACCATGAACACTTAGACACTGTGACCAGTATATTCTACTTCTAAGTGGCCTGCGACCTTCTCTATCACAAGAAGGAAGCCACTTCCCTGATGTTTTGCCTTTCATGGGCATCTCGTACAAAAGTTCTGTAACCCCCGTGAGAATTCTCACTGTAGCACATGTAAATACAGTTAACAGGCTACACTAGAAAATGGCACTGGTAATTTAACTTGTCCTGAATATCCTTGATTGTATTTTTACCATGCTGAGCTATAAAGTGGCCAGTTATCCTAATGTCTCCAAATGACTGCTTATGATCTGGACACATAATTTTGGCAGCATTCAGAAGAGATTCTTTCTTAAATGTGCTGTCTGTAAAAAGGTTTTGACGCCCAGGCAATTTTTTTCACTTAATAGAGAGCTGCATTTTGTAGCCTCTCATTTATTTTATTATTCAAAAACAAATGCTGTCATTTCTTCAGTCCATTATGTTTTTCTTTTTTTTATTTATTTATTTATTTTTAATTTTATTTATTTATTTGTGTGACCAGCACAGCCCACCAGGGGGCGGGGCTGGCTGGCATGTGGTGCTGGGGGATTGAACCGTGGTCTCTGTGCTTTGCTGAGCTTGTTCCAAGTAGGTGCTCTAGACCACTGAGCCATCTCTCCAGCCCCCATTATGTTTTTCAATACTTACCTTTTGTGTATACTAGTCATAGCTGGTTTCATAGTGGTGCCTGAAGATATAATTTCTCTATAAAAATATTCTTTGTTTGCATAATCTTCCCATCCACCGAAAAGAATGCACAATCCTATATTTTCCTTAAATTACTAGATTATGTTGTTTACAAAATGTATAAGTTCATTTTCCTTTTAATTTTATAAAAAGAAAATCCCACTAAACAAGCAGTAGTAAATAAAAACTGCTGTCTGACTTCAATGTTGTGAACACAGCAGGTGGTGGGGGACACAGCCCTACAAAGCAGACTGCTCTTTGGGGTGAGGGCACGCCGACCTGCGTGGACTCTGACTGTTTGAAGAGATCTGAAAATTTTAAGAAAGAGCTCCTCAGTATTTCAATGTTAGTAATACATTCAAAGAATTAAAATACTAAGTGGGTCAACTCCAACCTAGTCAAGCAGAACAAGCCTTGCAACCAAAGGGTAAGCAGTTGGCTACTCATTTGCAGCCTCTAGGGATATAGCACATAACAGCAAAATAACTTTTACCCTTCTCTAAGAACTAAGAGGAAAGTATCATTCATCAGCATACTGCAGAGAAGTGTGAAACCTAGTGTGGTCTGTAACGAGATGGTCTAACAGTGGGGGTGGGGCTGTCAGTGGACAGGATAACTGTCTCGAAACCAGGAATACTGGGGGAAGCCTTGGTATTTCAAGCTTGGGTTAATGTCAAATTTCTCATTGGATGTGTGGGTAATAAAACTGCTTTTTAAGTTAGTCAAAAGGATTAGAGAAACATCTCTCAGCATGCTAGCTGGCATTTGGGAGGTGTTCTATAGTAGGACCTACAACTATTATGAATTGCACAATCTAAGCTGACAACAGCTGTTTCTACTTCTGTCCCCTCTCTCCTAATGCCCTAAGCCCAGCCCATGGCCACATTCAACTTTTCTACCTCCTCGCCTTGCCCGAGCTCCTGCCTCTCCCGCAGCTGTCTGTCCCTTCCTTCTTCCATCCTGTCATTCTTGTGAGAAGCAATTACCTTCCCGCTCCTCTAGGAGGCTTCCAAGTGCTTTCCCTGCAGCCTGTATGTTTTCTTTCTTTCTTTTTATTTTATTTTATTTATTTATTTATTGGCAGTACCAAGGATTGAACTCAGGACCTTGCCCTTGCCAGGCAGGCATTTATGCCACTGAGCTATCTCCCCAGCCATTCCCTCCAGCCTTGGCAGGTGCTCTCCCACCACTGCCTCATGGGAGCTGTATCCAGAGGCTTGGGGAGATGTGAGCTCCTGGCTGCTCATGAAGCTGTGCCAGTCACCTTACAGTCCCTGGCACATATGCAGGGCTTGGGTATGGCATGCGATGGGGCTTACACAAAGGGACAAAGAGGGAGTGAGCAAGAGGGCTGAATGCAAGTGGGGTGGCCCATGTTCAGTATCTGCTTCCCTCTCACTTCACATGGCCAGCTGTGTTTGGCTGCTGGCTTTGACTCTGGCCTCTGTCTTCCCATTCTTCACTCCCACTATTACCTCCTCTCCTGCCCCTACACAGTGGACATTTCTATTCTGGAAGAGCAGATCCTATCGGAGCATGTGTGTCACACTTTGCATCTTCTAAGTGGAGACTAGAAGGCCATTACCTTTAGAAAGGTAGTGGGGAAACCAGATCAGAGCCCCCACTGGAGGCAAAACCAGGGAAGTCATAAGGCAAGGTCAAGCTTGCTTTGACCACACACCCACACTTGCTCTGCTTTCAGAACAAGTGGCTTTCCAGCTAAGGGAGGCACGAATGGGTGTGTGGCCAAGGCAGGCCTGGGGGCACCACCTTCCTCTACGCTAGTGGTCACAGTCTGCTCACACAGAAGGAAGACTTTGTTTAGAACAGGGGTGCATGTGTGTATATGGTGGCTTCAAGTGAAGAACAGGAGCCCCCTTCTCCAGCAGGAAGCAGACCCTCCTGAAAGTCTCAAGACAGACCAAGCCACACTCCACACATACCCTGAGCAGGGTCACTTGGTGACATGTCTGCACACCTATGGGGTTCCCTGATGTAAGAAGGAATTTAGTCTTATTATATACAATGTTTGAATAATAATTATGAAATAATGTTCAAATATTTATTGTTTTCCAGGAACATGGGTGACATTTGGAGGTCAAATTTCAGATGAGGTGAGTTACTTTTGCTTTCTACTGTGCTGGTGAAAGAAAGTGTCAAAAGAACAGTAAAAATACTCGTCCTGGGACCCTGACACTGCACAGGGACAATGTTTCAATCACTGAGTATAGTTAAGATTGACTCCTCAATTATGCTCAATTCTATCTTGCTTCCTGCATTCTTCACATTTAGACTATTAATAGCTCTTGAGATTGTCAGTCTATTTTATGTGCAGATTCAACCATTGGATACTAAAACAGTTTGGAATTAGTCACTTTATGAAAAGATTTTATTGCTGCTTTATGATGTTGTATTATTTCTTTTATTTCCAATGTGTTTACTTATTTGTAATCTAGTTTTAGCACAGATGGCCCCTCTGAGAGAGGCTCTCAGTCTCGGGCGCAGTTGGTCACCCTGATCTGGGCAGGTTGTTCCATCTCCTCTGAGCTTCAATCTCCCCTATGTGACATGGATAACATTCCTGAGCTTGCCATACATGTCAGATATTCATGCAGCCCTTCCAGTAAGAGGCAGCAAACACTCCATGAGTGACAGGTGCAGCCATTATCTTTACTACAAAATATCTTTTTAAAATTAATTTTATTGAGAAACAAAGAGCAATGAGACAGTTGCAAAACCAATTAGTGGGACAGTTTCAATAGTTAGTACATTGCATATTGTTGTCTTCATAGTGGTTATTCATAGTACAAGATGCAGACATGATTTCCTGTCCAAACACTATTAGTACAAATATTTATTTTCATTGAATTAAGAAAAAGTAGCTGTATATCTATCCTAACTGTTACCTTTAGATCATTATTTACATGTTCAAAACAGTGCTTTAAATAGATGCAACTTCTGTTTATCAATAAAATTAAAGAATGTGTGTGCATACGCAGGAGAGTTGGGATAGTCTCACAGTTAGCTTCTTTTCATTCCTGGAGAAGAGTGCTTTGTGCTAATATTTGTTAGATAAGATATCATGACTGTCTATTACTCTTCTCTTACCACCTGACACCCAAAATTAAGGAAGGAAAGGTCGATCTAGCTCACAGTTACTGGAGTTTTCAATCTATACTCAGCTGGCTCCAAGGCAGAGCAGCACATGGCAGAAGGCAACAGCTCATGGTAGCAGAAAACAACAAAATAGCAACAGCAAAAGCAAGGAGTGGCAGCAACAAGGGCAATAGAAAGCAAGTCTGTCTCCCTTGTTACATTCAGGCATCCACCCCATACTGGGTGCAGCACTCACACTCAGAATCCTAGCACAGGATCATGAATTAATCACAAACTCCAGAAGTCCACCCCATAGCTGCATGATGCTTTGGTGGGACATCTAGATACAAACCATAACAATGCCTATATCTTAATCAAAGATTAACTAGTACAAAGATAGATGTAATCTATCAACTATTGTAACTGTCCCATTAATCTATTTTGTAAACTCGGGTTTCATTGTTTGCGTATCTTTTTTCTCTTTAAAATTAAAAAGGGAAGGGCCAGCCAAATAGCTCAGCAGATTAAAGTGTCTGCAAGCAGGTGCAGGGACCAGGGGTTTTGATCCCAGGCCTGCAGTGCTGGCCCTACCCCTGGGGGCAGGCTGAGACAGCAATTGAGACTGGGTGTGGTGGCATGCACCTGTAATCCCAGTCCTTCGGAGGCTGTAAACAGGCAGATCACTATGAGTCCAATCTAGTAGTGAGACCCTGAACACCCTATAGGCCCTTCTGTAAAAAATACAAAGAAAAAAAATTAAAAAGGGAAAAGGATACTTTAACCAATGCCTTCAAGGAATTTTCTCATTGCCATAAATGAGATAAGCAGGCACTGAGCGGCCAGGAATTCCCCTGAAGACAATGTTCTTGAGTCTCGCCATCCTTCCTTGCCTGACTGCAAGGCTATTACCAGGGGTACCAGGGGTAGAGTATCTAAGTGGATCCTCAGCAGGATCCAGTCTACCTCTGCCACTACTCAGCTTGATTTACCGACATTTCCTTTTATGAACAGCTGTCACAACATTAAATGTTTCTGCTCAACAGGATCTGGTCAAAATTAATGAGATTTTGCCTTAAAATGTTCAGTTCACTGTCCCAGCATAGATGCCACAAAGACAATGATATAGCAGCATCATTCCCAGGGAGGTTCTTGGACAATGGAATTTTCACCCATAGTTCCCAAAGTTGCAAGTATAATTTTCAGGGGAGATGTCTTAAGTGAACACATTGAATTGTCCAAATGTGTATTCCCACTGCTGGAGCATAGATCACTGTGTAGAGAGCCCAGATCTCAAGGGCGTTCCCGGGAGCAGACTCTGAGCTAGAAGTTAGCATGCATACTATTACTAGGAAATGTTTTCAGGATTGACACGGCAGGGAATGAAATCAGACCAGGCAGAATAAGAAGGTGGCTATGATGTATCTCATCAAAGACCTTGGCCAGCCCCATGGGGAGCTCCAGGATTGAGATGATCCTACAGTGCTGTCCCAAGGCAAGGAAAGAGGACTGGATCTTTATGCTCCTGTATTGACCAGTCATTGGTAGACACTGACTTACAGGCAGGCCTGATCTCGTACAAGATGGCTATAGACAGGTACAGCTAGAGGGCTGTCCAGCAAAGGCCAAAGGCCATTTGATGGCTTCCTTCCCAGTGGCAGAGGTCTGAGTCCTTCCTCCTGAAGGAGGCACTGCTCAGCTCTGTCACTGACATCAGATAGGGATGTGTGGAGGACACACAGAGGCAAATCCACAGGACGCAGAGCAAAGGCCACAGGTTTAAGTCAGACACCAAATAGACATCAAATAGGGAAGGAAGTCTAAAGTTAATCCACTGTTTCCAGTACATAGATAAGTCACCACTGCCTGATACAGCACCTGGAGAGGAAAGGGCAAAATTAGCTTCCCTTTGGGAACAGAGGGCCCAAAGGCCCGTGTCCCCAGGTTTTGTTCTTCCCTTCACGGAGTCTGCTTTCTTCTGCATGAGCCCAGCCTCCCCAGATCGGGGCACAGGGTGATCTCTGAATGAATGCTTTAGAAATGCCCATTTGCAGCGGAGCACAGTAACATCCTCAGCACGCATGCATCCCTCAGACGCACGGCACTCAGACAGCTAGCAGTCCCCGCAGAGTGCAGCGGCCACCTTCCCTGGGCTACAGGAAGGAGGGAGGCAGCACAGCTCAACCCAGGCTCACCAGCAGTTGAGTTGCTTAAGTTCAGTTACTGACAGTTGGGTTAAAGTGTAAGCCAGTAGCAACAAATTCATTTCCTCAGATTTTCCTCTTTCTCTCCAGCTACAAGCAGCTCAACATAAAGCAGGTGCATGTAGGTTACACTAGGATGACCAACCACATTATAGTATTCTATTATCAACAGTCTCCAGCCAGAGATTATAGCTCAGTGGCAGAAGCACTTGCCTGGCAAGCACAAGGTCCTGAGTTCGATCCCGAGTACCAAATAGTAACACAGTCTCAGGAGGTGATGATGTCCCTGTCCCTGCAAGAATTTAGCTGTACATTGAATTACTGAATTACAGCTGTACATTGAATAATTCCTTGGCAGGGATATCACCAAACTAAGTAACTCTGTAGGTGATTGTACTTAATCACAAAACCCAGATAGATTTTGCTCATATGAATAATAATTTCTTAAAAGTAATGATGAGTGTATATCAGAATCTGAAACACTTAATTTCTAGGGTTTTGTTTCATATTCCTTTCATCTTTCAGGTAACTACAGCAATTTTAATTGAAGGTAACAATATACTCTACCTCAAGCAGCTTAACCAATAAGAGAAAAAATATTTTGACTTTTCAGCTAGACATATAGAATAGAGTGGGTTTCAGTGCCCCTGTTCTAGTGCCTGGCCATTCTTTCACCCCTGTGCTCCTTTGCTTCCTCTTGGGGCAGGAAGAATGGAAGATCTCCAAGAATTCCAGGCCTCAATTAGAATAGCAACTCCAGAGGAGTGTGACTTCCAGAAACTCAGTAAGAAGAACAAGACAAAGGAAATCCATACATTCACTGGCCACGTGTGTCAGGAGCCCCTCCCTGGACGCCTGGCCGTTAGGCCCACCAGGCTCACCTAGAGGAAGTGAGACCAGACTCCCCCGAGGCCTCTGGGTTCACTGAGGGAAGGACAGCATTTTCCCATGTTTCAGATGAAGAAACTGAAATATTGAAGTCAAATGATCTACCCAAGTTTATACTAAAGGGCCACCCAAGGCCTAAAGCCAGTCTTCAGACTTAGTTCAGTGCTCTTCTCTTTTCATCATTCCTTATTCAGATCCTACAGTTGGGAAGTTGCTCCACCATCAGTGAGTCCAACTGTCCCACCAGAATTCTCCACCTTAAATTTCTCTCTAGATAAGATTTATTGAGTACATTCCTCAGTAATAGTCCACCAATACGTCGGGGCACTGCAGAAGGATACTATACAATGCGAGCACAATCATTTTTAAAGATAGGACAGTCATAACAGGAAAAAGCTGCGTTTGTCTTAAATTATAACCTCTAGTTGAATAAATGTTGTAATAGTAGCAAATTAAAAGCAATAATAGTGTGCGTGTTTGCTACAGTTATTCTAAAGGATCTGCACTGATCCTATTTTGCTAGCCTAACAAATTTCCTTTTTATTATTCTTAGAGTGTACAACTTAGAATTAAAACAGAAAAAATTACAAGTGATGCAGATTTTCACTTAACAAAGTAATATGAATGTCACGGTATTTGTTGTAATACATTGTGTTGTCTTCCAACCAGTTATTCATATTACCAGATATACACATGCAAAATTGGAAGAAGAAAGAAAAAAAGGAAGAAATGAATCCGAAATTAAGGAGAGAAAAAGTAGAAACTGAGAAAAGGAGACGAAACAAATTAAAGCATGAACTGCTTCTTGATGAGCCAGTTTCTAAAATAATGTAAAAATGGTTTGTCTTTGAAATGCCGTTGAAGCAGGTTTAGCCCACCATCAAAAACACAAGGAGAAATCGATTTTAATTATTTGTGAGGTGTGTGATTTTTTGAATGACTAATAAATCAGCCAGCAGCAAAATGAAAAAAGAAAAACTCAGCCCTATTCCACTGCGGTTTCCTGCTGTTTCTCTAACGCTGTCCCTCAAGCCCTGGTTTCTAGCTATGGGCCCATCTTCTGCCACACCCACCACGAGTGTGGCGCAGCACAGAGGACAGGCAGAGGAGCTCTGAAGCCAGCTTGCAGGCTGGGCAATGAGGACCTGGTCCCTCAGCTGGTGAGTCCAGGCACTTGGGCCTTCTCCTCTGTGTTGAGTCACTTACTGATGGTGCCTGGGATTTGGCTGAGCTATGGTGGGCCGTAACCTTATAATAGTCATTCATCTCTCTGACAGTCTGCTAAACTTGGAGCAAAAAAATCACAGGGTTCATGTCATCCAGCTGCCAAAACCTATTGGCTTAGGGAAAGAAGTTGAGGCAGAGTCAATAGGGACACAAATGACTCTCTTTGTTAGAGAGATTAGGCACCAGCAGAAGGTTGCCAAACAAGACTTTCCTAGCAGAGTGGGAAATGGCCTGCCTTGCTCTAAGGGCAGACTTAATCTTAGCCACAAGGGGAGGTCGCTGCCCACCCTGACTGCGTGCATTGATCTCACATGCTCAAAGCTTCATTATCCTCTTTTCTCTACAACTGAGAAAAGCACGGCGGGCTCAGTGAGATCTCAGTACCCTTCCAGAATGGTAAAGGACTTAAAGTGCTTCTCAGGGTTGGAAACCGTGTGGCGTTTCTGCTCACCTCTGCGTCCCCTTGCAGGTTGCTGAACGGCTGATGACCATTGCCTATGAGAGCGGCGTTAACCTCTTTGACACTGCCGAGGTCTATGCAGCTGGGAAGTAAGTTAGCACATGTTTGTGTCTCTCCAGTGGCATCTGTGAGACCAAGTCTGCCCCAGATATTTCTGAGACATTGGTGGGAAGGGACTAATGCTCCAGCCTTTGCCTGTGGCCCTGCTCTTCTCCACCCTTTTAGCTTCTCTAGCATTAAGAAAGTTGATCACAACTGGTCCCCTCGGTCCACTCACTCATCTCTGTTTGAAAAGTGCACCAGAGGGAGTGAGAACCAGTAAGCAACTGTCATCTATAGAAGAGGCAGAGGTAACTGGTGTCAGTGTGGGAGTAGCAAAGATCAATCAATGTCAGTTGAATGTATGAACAGGAAAATGAATAAGCAATGTTCAAGATGGTTCTTCAGAAGTTACCCCCATTGTTTCCTAACTATGCCTTGGAGTTGCTCAAGCCCCAGTGGAGCCGGGACACTCTCCCTGCAGGCAAACAGGGACTGCTCTTCCTGTTTGCCCACCCACTCCTACGTTAGCATTCCAGGCAGATCAGATATAAGTGGGATTTCCCAGAGACTTTGAGAAATGAATAGATTCTATAAAAAAGCTATTTGAGAGCCCATTCTAAGGACAAAGGTGTCAGGGAGGCCTCACCCATTCTAAATGAGGAGGCTCATCCTGTTGACCCTCCCCTGGGACCAGAGTGCAGGTTTGGGGCTCAAGGACAGGCCATGGAGAATCCAAGCCTAAAGGTGATGTGACCTCCATGACATCCGGCACATTTGAGGATACATACGGGCCCCTGGCATCCTGGCATGAACACACATATATGCCTCCCATAACCAGACACCCATTAGCTGAGAGCTGTTTCAGGAGCTCTGCAGGTCCCTGAAGACTGTGGAACATGATCACCTACAGTAATTCTTTTCCTGCAGAGGAGAATTACAATCAAACAGTGGACCTGCCAAATCTGGCTCCTGGTCCAGGGGTCTAAGTTCAGTTTTCTTGTGTGGTTTCCTCCTTTCCAAGGTCAGGCTGAAGCTTAAGAGCCATCAAGGAGGCTCAAAGCTTACATCTCTGTTGTTCTCTATTGACTATAAGAGAAAAAGTAGAAGTTATAAAACCTCACTCTTTCTGCCCCCTGCTCATTCCCACTGTTTTATTCCTTGTCAAAATGAGCAAGGGTAGACAAAGAGAGGAAGGACAGCAAGTCTGCTACAGTTCTGTTTGGCTCCTACTGTCAGGCATAATCATTCTGATTAGTTACTATCACTGCATAACTGAGATTGGGTGACATGCAAGGTTGCAAATGATAATGGTCAAAAAGACAAACAGGAAGAAATAAAAAGAACACCAGTAACATTCCGTGCCTGTGCACTTGGGGTGTACTTCATAGCTAATCTGCATCGTGATTTATTGTAAGCTATTCTGTCTAACAAAGACAGAACTTTCAGTTATGACAAGAAACAATGAGAGATGACTCCCATCTTTAGCACACTAGTGGGCAAAGAGCTAGCTTCCCTGACCCACCCATTTACAAGCCTCTGAGAGCCAAGCTGCTTCCCACAGTGGGAGTCTCACTGGGAGGGACAGAGAGAGTGTAGTTTTCTCAGTCTTAGGTCCCAGGTTGCTAAAGTGCACAGAGGTAGGAAAGTGTAACAATAGTATAGCTCTCCACCACCCTGCCTTAGGGCCAGAAAGGACATTTTCTTATATCTCTTTGTAAAGTATCTTGCTCCTATGACAAGGTTGGTTACTAGATCCCAGGACATCCTCATGTGGATCACTGCATCTTCAATCCTGGCCTTGGGGACATCTGAACTGTCACAAAGATTCTTTGTGTATCATCAAGGTCATCCAGAGGTCAATACTTTCTGTCTACATGTGATGAGGTTTCCTTGTCTTCCCTGGTCAGGAATGAAGTGTTCTGCAGCAGAAGGAAACCTGGACTGCTATCCAATGGCACCATGTGGGACATTTATATACGGGATCAGTGGTCCAAAAATACCAAACTGCCAAATGACTCTGTGGTTTCTTAGGATCAGGCCTTCAGGCGGTCTCCTGCCAGCATGTCAGGACTTGGCAGGTGCTTCTGGAATACTCCGGAGCAGGATTCTGCAGGCACAAGCAGAAAGAGTGAGCGGAAACTGCTACCAGCAGAGAGCAGCTTCTATTTTCGGGATACGTAGGCACTGAGAGTTCAGACTAGGATGGCTCTGCAGTTCGGGTTCACTCTTGCTCTCCCAGGATACTGCTCCCTAATGTGGCATCTGCTTTTTCTTCCAGGGCTGAGGTGATTCTGGGGAGTATCATCAAGAAGAAAGGCTGGAGGTACTGTAGTCCCCATAATTGTTTATTTGCTTCTTAAAAGACTTATTATTTTGTGCCAGAAAAGGCAAAATAAAATCATATGATAGCTAACCAAAAAGCTGTCAAGAAATGAAATCTCAGTAAAGAAAGAATTTACAATGGTTTGAAAATAAATGCCAGTGAGTTCATTACATGTGCTTCAAAAATTATTGATCAGTCATTGATCACAATGAATTGTTGCGAGGTTGAGCAAGAAAACATTCCCAAAGAAAGATGGAATGTTCATGAGATATTTGTGCATTAAAGAAAGTGACATTTTCATGGCTTTTACTACCATTTGTCGTAATTTGGTGAAGAAAGCAAGCTGCAGGGAGATGGTTATCACTATACACAAATTGATGTTCACCATTCCTTTTATAAGCAACTGTGGATGCAAAGAAATGATGAAGAGAAAAGCCCTCGGAATAAATACCTGCAAGCCTTCTCGTCTGAATACCATCAACTAACATCTGTCCTGTGTATCCAGAAAAGTGCCTCATCTGCTATCTTGGAGAGGTTCCCCTGAGAAATGCAAGGAATATGCTTGCCAGACTACCTCGCCATTTGCTATAGCCAAAGCAAGAGTCAGTGGCCTCTTGTGAGGGTGGGGGGCAGAACCCCGACATTTTACAGTGGGCATTAGTCACAGTGGCCACTTCTTATGAGCACAGGATGAGACAGAGCCTACTGCACAGGACTGGGACTTCTCCACTCTAGAATGTTTGCAGTGGCCAAATAAATAAGTTAAGAAAACTATGTTAGAAAGGTTTGCACACATGCATATATGGATTTTTAATTTAGCCTAAGAAACATGGACATTCTCAAAGGGCACAACTCAGTACTGCTGGTATTATACCTTTACATGTTTCATTTAAACTCCCTCTCGGAGGAGAAACTAGAAGGGTGAAAACAAAGCCCCTGCATATTTAGGGCTACTTCTTTCTTGCTCTGAGACAAATGTTGGGTAGGCATGGAGGGCCTGATGGAAGCCGAAAGTGATACGCTTTTTGAAATATGAACAAAGAAAATTCAGTGACCTACTTCTTCCTTTCTATTCCTTAACCCCAAGAGAGCATTAAGAGAAAACCATATTCAACATTTAATACAGAAAAATATTCAGTCCCTACCCAATTCTCCTTACCCAAGTCACCGTGCCACTCGGGCTGTAGGTCTGTCCACCCGGTCTGCGCAGGGGTTGCATCAGTGTGTGAGGGCTGTGCACCCCACCACCCTGAACCAGGTGACTTAAAACAATAGTTTATTTTTGCACAGTTTTAGAGGCCAGGAGTCCCAAACCAAGATACAGGCAGAGCCGTCCTCCCTCTGAGAGGCTCCATCAAGTCCTTCCTTGCCTCTCCCTCGCCTCTGGTGGTAGCTGGCAGTCTCTAGCCGCTCCTTGGCTTGCAGTCACAGCACCTCACCCTCTGCCTCCTTCCTGCTCCCCACTGCACCCCATGTGTCTTCCCTTCAGAACGTTGGTCATATTGGCTCTGGGGCCCACTCTCCTCCAGTATGATCTCACATTAACTGAGTAAGTTACATTCACATGACCTTATTTCCAAATTAGCTCAATTCTTAGATACTGAGTGCTTGTGCTTCTTAGAAGGAAGCACAGTCCAACCTTGAACAAGCCCACTAATGCTGCAGTGAGGCCTACAGGAAGAAGCAAGCTAGCAGAGTCCACCTGAGGAAGAAGCAGAAGCATCTACTCCTGTGTACAGTGGCTTTTCCCCCCTCAGCTCCCAGAGAACATTTAATCATCACTCTGCAGAAGTCCGGAACCTATTACACACACCTTTTGTGGAAGAGATTAACACACACATTTCACAGGCTGCCTTTTAGTCTTGCAAATAGACTCGAGCTACCACCATAGTACTGATGGTAGTAGCCCCCAGACAGCCACTGAAAAGATAAACTATGCCAATCTAGCACTGAGCCTGCTGTTCTGAGTACCACACAAGGGCTCCCTATCCCGGTGCTGCCACTTGACAGCTGGCTTATCTAAAGCAAGTTACTTTACTTTTCTGACCCGCAGTCTCCTTACCTAGAAATGCATACCATAACTGTTCACAAAGTGTCATTCTAACAAAGCGAGATGAGCCATTCACAGTTCACTGAAGACCACGCTATGTCACTGTGTAACCCTCACATTACTGTTCCCGACCCACTCTAAGGAGATGCTCTTAAAACCCCCGTGAGAGTCAGGGATAATTCACCAGGCTGCTAGCTATCTTTCCTGCTAGGTGGGTGTAAATGTTAATGTGCACACTCATAGGCCAAACACTTTGCAGAAAGCCTAACTTTGGAGAAATAAGAGGTGGGGGGGGGGCAGGATATGACTCTTCAGCAGCCTCAACTGCTCTGAATAATTGAAAGGGCTGCATCTGTTTTTAATAATATTCCATCTAGTTTTTTACTGAAGGTGGAAACTTTGCACCAGGCTATCTGGTTCCCGTGAGGCAGACTGCTACAATAACATGTATTGAGAGGTGATGGATTAGCCTGGCAGCTACACCAGCCCTCATGAGGTGCGTGACCTCCAGGGGCACATATCATGCGCTTTCCATTATCATGATTCAAATTATTTTAACTGAAGTTACAGGAATTAACCTCAATGGGATAAGGTGGCTGACATCTTCAACAAACTTCTCCTGTTACACCCAAGTTGTCAGAGCTGTAGTTGACATTCCCCATTGCTTATTGTTAATCATGCTAGGCATTTATAACTGGGCATCTTGAGGTATCAACTCCTCAGCTGATGAAATTATAAATGTTTTATTTTTAAATAATTTGGTCTTAACCTTTGAAGCTCAAATGATTTTTCTCTAGACCAGTTCAATTGAATTATATACCTAGAGAAACTAAAGTGCACCGAGCTCTGCCTCCCAATTAAATTACATGCCTGTGGCTCTCAAGACATATTTTTCATGTCATGGTCAGAACACTACAATTATATTTCTTACCCTTGGGTGTGCTTTTTAGAAGGTAACAGATTTGTTGACAGTATTTTCACACTTCATTTTCTTTCAAGTAAAATAGCAGAACCATGAGTTAAACATTTTATAACTATTTTCCTAAAATGACATTTCTATTTAAAAGGACACTCAGAGAAAATATTTATCAGCTCTCACATTTTGCCTCACCATTCCTAGCTCTAAGTGGTCAGCTCCTGCCTATGCCTGTGGTAGCTGGAGAGGAAAATATCTGGGAGCAACTAGGGCCTGTGGTCATTGGCAGAGTGGACTTCCTCCCAGGACAGGCTCACAGGCAATTTACACGATGCCAGATGCTAAATAAGGGCTAATTAGCAGCTGCTTGTTTGAGCTGCTGAAGTAATTCACCCTGTCAAGCTTTTGCTTATATTTTCCTGAACATTTCTGACCCTGCAGGCGAAACTACACTCACCTGCCCTTTGCATCCCCACTCAGGGCTTGTTGCCACTGCTTCTCCCCTCCAGCAGCTGCAGGCAGAGATGTTTCCCTTCCTCCCTCTCTCTAGGATCTGATTTTAAGTTAATGTTCACTGTTTACATTTCAGTGATGTGAATCACAAACTTATCCCTCTGCTCTTTACAATGTGAGGTATAGAGGCTGGCGAGATAGCTCAGCGGTCTAAAGCACTGCTTAGGCAAGCTGAGGCAAGCACATGGACTGCAGTTCGATGCCCGGCACCATATGCTGCACCAGCTCTGCCCCCAGGGCAGGCTGAGCTGGCCACTAAAATAAAATAATATATGATGTATAATAAATTCTTTCTGGTGCTATAATGATAACATCATTCAGCTCAATAAACCTGCAACGTGTTTACTAATTCTGTGTTTGTCTGACTCCCAGGAGATCCAGCCTTGTGATAACAACTAAGCTCTACTGGGGTGGAAAGTAAGTTAAATACCTTTCATTTTTCTCTACTGATTAAGAAATAACTAGTAAGTCATGCTTTTATCCATAGCAACTACTTTACATCTAACTTATACTATAACTAATGGGCTTAGAGAGATGGGTTTTTCCTCTTATGCTAAAACAATAGCAGTTAGCTCAGGATTCAATTTTTAACAAGACACTCTCAAAGAAGTCTGAGTGTGGCTACTTGTTACTATGTGATTTGTGTAGATTTCTCATATATCAGTGTCATACTTAGAATGATTTCCAAACTACCACTTCAAATTTCAGGAAAAGAAAATAAGCACAAAGCATCCCAGAAGGAAAACTACTCTAATCTGCCAAACCTCTGAGCCTTTTTCAGGATGCAAAGATAAAAATATCTTGTCTGGCTCCATTAAGTCTCTGATCATTTCTGCAAAGGGCTCTGAAAGTGCTGATCAAAAGGACTATCTCACTGGAGAATAACAGAAAGCTCTCCCTGTATCACTCACTTTCGGGCCAATGAAGGAGAGGCCCTCTCTCTGCTGTAAGATGCAGAACAAATTTCGCAGGATAAGTTGGCCCCTGATGGCCCACCTCCTAGTGTTTGAGCTGGTATTCGCATTATTCAGCATGTAGCAGACGGCTGCCCTTTTTGACAAACATGTCAGAAAACTGCAAGTTATTCCGTATGCCAGAGCAGCAGCTGGCACTATGCTTCACATAGAAATCCCAAAGAATGCTGTGGTCTTTGAAAAAACTGGAAATAAATAAGCATTTTTACTTACATACATGTAACTGACAGGGAATAGTATTTAAAAAAAGAAGCAGAGGCCTATTTTTAGAAGCCTTCTAATATCAATGTATATGTACACACACTTATGTTTTATAGTTTTTATTGAGGCTGTTTGTGATAATTATGAAGACAGAAAGATAGAATTTAGTGTTTTATTCCTAAAATAAGAGAAAAAAGGTAAATAAGGTAAAAAAAAAAAAAAGGCGGCATGGCACCTATAAGAAATACGGGATTTCCCTGAGCGTCCCGGACTTGCGGTGGCAGTACACAGCACTTCTGTAATGAGGCACAGAAACATGCTCACAGCACACAAATAAACAGGAAACAGGCTTGCTGCAGGTGGAGCCCCATGCCAGGCTACCTAACATGCTTATGAAAGATACACAATACGGACGTACTCACAAAGGTGCTGGTAAACTGCTATATTTTAAATAGAGCTGCCAAACATATTGATGCTGAAAAAGCATTTCATCTATACTTTAAAATTCAACCATTGCATGCCTTATGTCTTTCTAATTGTTCAGAGTTTGAGAAATTCCAGGGAGGACAAAAGTACCTCTAACTAAAGGTGTCTTCTTAAGGTAGTAATTTAAGAAAAACTTGATCCATCACATTTTAGGGGGAAATATTGCTAAATTTCTGTAGAAGTCAAAGGCACTTTCAAATTTGTTTCCTTTCACAGATAAATTAATGATTTCACCAGTCTCCCATCTTAAACTCACAAACTTGTGTAAGATTATTTTTCTTCCTTAGACTAGGTAGAAACAAAGTGACATGGGTGAAGGGTGTGCCGAAGTATTTACAGAGAGGGTGCATGTGGGTGAGTAATTGACCTGAACAAGACCTGAGGGACACAAATAGCGTGGTGACCATCATGCTTAGTTCGCCTCCTGGAGTCTCTAAAAAAAGAGGATTGCGCAGTAGGTTGCCACCCGCCTTTGCCTGTTCTCCTCAGCACCCAGTGGCATGGAACTTGCCAACAAGAGGCTATTACATGAGCAACTCAGACTAAGTAAGAACGAATATTATTCTGCAATTGGAGACAGACTTAAAAAGTACACATCCACTCAAAGTCATCTATCTCTTTTTCTTTGTAGAGCTGAAACAGAAAGAGGGTTGTCAAGAAAGCATATTATTGAAGGTGGGTACTGCTGCTTTTATCTTATTTTCATTTTTGGACTCCTGGGTATCAATTACATAGTAGGTCCAAAGCACATTGAAAGTGGAAAAAATTCTAAATGAAAATAACCATGATCAAGCATGATTCTTCCTCAGGTTAAGTGTGGAGAACACAAAGAAACAGGGAGAATGGGACCACACAAGGGAAAGTCAGCAGCCTAAACACTTCTCAGGTACAGCTGCTGCTATTGAAATTAAGTGCTCCCATGGGGCTTCCCACCCCCAGCACTGGGGACTGAACCCAGAGCCTCCACCCTCGGCTGCATTTCCAGCCCTTTCC